CCCGCCCTCGCACAGGTTCACCCCTGGCCTTTAGGGGCGGTGGTTCTCCCCACGCAATGTTCCGGTGCCTTTGCTGGAGGAGGTTCACGAGCTAACGGTCACCTGCACCTGTCCCAATGCCTGGGGACCACACCTGACACCTGTGGGCAACGAGGCCAACCCTGACCGGCCTCCAAGGCACAGAGCTGCTGAGGGTGAATCCGTCCCTGCAGACTGCCCATGACACTTGCTGGGAAAACAAGCCGGTCACAGGGAGGACCCGGCTCGTCCCCCTACCTGTCCTTGGTCACGTGACTTCGGACAATTGCTCACAATACCCAGTGTCCAGTGTCCCAAGGCGGTGAGGACAGGTTAGTGTATCGAACTCTGAAGCAGCTCATCTCCAGGGTCACCCTACCCCATTCGGGTCACCCCGTCCCAGGTGCACGGCACAGGCAGTGGCTCGACCAGGCGGCGCGTTGGCAGGGAGCTCGGCACGGCCCACCCCTCATTTGGGGCCTCTTGAGCCTTTACACGCTGGGCTCTGCGTTTGTTTCTGGACAGAGCCACACCCGCCTCAGACACCGTGTTCACTGTGTTCGCTGCAGACGCGTCACCACAGACGGAGAGGATCGAACGATGCCCGCTGACCACCCCAGTGGGTGGGCCGGAAGCGTGGGCGTGGCAGGGACCACTTCCTGCCCAGGGCACCCCAGGCTCCCGCGCCCCCCCCCACCTGCTTCCAGGCTCGGTCAGGTCGTCCCCTGTGGCTCCAGGACTGAGTCCCCATGCGCTGCCGGCTGCGAGCCAGGGGCTGCTCTCAGCCCGAGGCCCCCGCGCCCTTTCCCGCACAACCCTCCACCCCACAGCCAGCAGCGGAGACCCTCCCTCGGGCAAGTCTCCTCGCCAGGAAGGCGCCTGGTCCTGGTCCAGGCTCACCTGATTAGGTCAGGCCCACCCAAGACAATCTTCCTTTTACGATCCACCGACTCTGGACCACGATTACGTGCAAAGCGAAGACCCCGCAGCGGGAAGGCCTCGAGCGGGTCCAGCCTCCACACACAGGGCCCACTGTTCCAGCCGCTGCGTGTCTGGGGCTCGGGGTGGTGAACGAGTGCTCCCCGCCTTCTAAGAGGGTGGTGATGCGTCCCCTTTGTTCCCTGGCAAACGGCGGATCCCAGCGTACAATGCACGTGCTGGTGACCACACTGTCTCAACCGAGATGCCCACGGCCACCGGGACACTCGCGGGCACAGTCCTGCCGGCCAGGGACACTTGCGGGCACAGTCCTGCCGGCCAGCTGCTGCAGGACCGAAACCGTGCAGGTGCATTTGGAGCCTGCAGTGTTCGAGGCAGCCCCCCCACCCCCCGTCTAAGCGCACGACAGACCCACCTAGAGGTGACAGTGACCATCAGGGACGCACCAGCCTCTTGTTCTCTGAGAAAGACACGTTTCCCCCAAAGCCAATGACGTGGCTCCCGTCACAGAGCCACCCTGGAATTACATGGCTCAGTCTGTCCACACGGGCACCTTGGAAGACTGGCATTCCCCTGGGGCCCAGCCGGTGTCCCTGAGGCCGGGCGCTCAGCTGCCCCACCGCAGGGGAGACGCAGGGAACCCCAAGCTGCCTGCTTCTGAGGGAGCCCGAGGCCAACGGTGGCAGCGAGGAGGGTCCCTAGCTGGCGGGTGGAGCACCCCACAGCAGTGAGCGTGTCTGTAGAGCAGACGTTAACCAGAGTCTACGTGTAAATTGGCAACCTCAAAAAAACCCGCGCACATCTGGGGACACTCGCCACACTGTAATCTCAGTCCCCTCCGCGCGTCACCGCCAGGGGGCCGTCCCCCGTCACTGCGTCCACGGAATTTGCTGCAGATGCTCTTACTCCCTGAGGGACGAGCTTGTTTGACAAGTGTCTTTGGAGCCGAAAACGTATCTTCCAGTT